GTGGACTTGTGGGTGTGGGGGGCAAGATCTGGAACTTTCAACTGGGTGGGGGAAAATGGGAAGTTTTCAGATTCGGGTTTTCCCAGATGTGCCAACATGGCTCTCTTAATAAATTGGAACTTTGAGCAATACTTTGCCTTGGACTCTGATTTACTTTTGGATGCTATTTGGAACCCTGGCAATGATTCTATGATCCTGATAGAGACATATATTCTTGAGCATGTTATAATTCTGTTAATGTAGGTTTTTTCCCCCTTTCGTTAAGAAAGAATTACCTCAAGAAAATTATTTTGAATTTAAGTTTTAAAAAATAGAAATATTTTATGTAATTTTATTAGTATTATATGGTTTAATGTATCCAATACCACAAAACAATTGTTCACATACAATTCTTTCCTCAGCGCAATTTACAACAAGAATTTTTTTAAAAAATCCAGTTTAAATTCTCCAGTATGGTACAGTAAAGAAGAGTTGCTGCTGGCTAAATAGAGCGGTAAATGCACAGAAAAGGGTAATTACTAATGGATCTGAAGCATGAAGATAATCCATTTTAAAGAAGAAAGAAAGGTGAACTTTATGATGAATGCGAAAGCAAAGACTGAAGAAAACAGTATGTAGTAATATTAAAATACATGATGCTGTGTATGTGAATCTGATTTTGTTAGGAATAATCAATTATCCATAAGAGCTCCTGCTACATTTTGAAAATATAGGATTTGTTTCTGCCCACTTTGCTTAAAAAAAGAAATAACTAGGGGATGCAAAAAACTGTGACTGTAGCTCATGGTTTTCAGGTTCTCTATGATCTCCTAGCCTCTAATTCATTTATTTGTTCCCATGCTGTGCAACAACCTGGCCAGCAGGCCTTTAAAAAAGGACTCACAAATCCAGAAATGTGTAATTATGGTATAAGAATGTTGTGTAAATCTGGCAGACTTTGCTATTTATCCTAGAAAGATAGCCAGATTATGGAATACTTCATTTTGCTTGCCTATCTGTTTGTCCATCACAATCCACTATTTCTGATCTAACTTTTCTTATTTGTGCTGGAAGAAAGTTTTGAAGAACTAGAACAAGTGCTTAATATATTTAGCCAATCCCATAACTTTGGATTTCAAGTTAAACAGTTTCTAAACAGTTCTAGTCTTGCTTTAAACATGAAAGCTGGCTGGGTGACTTTAGACCAATCACCAGGAGATAGTGAATTCTAGTCCTTTAAAATCAACTCTGTACTAATGGCAAAGCAAAATTTATGACATGATTTCATGCCTTTCATATATGGTAGGTATGCTAAAGATAATGGAACCTGTTTTGTAAGTATTCTGAAGCATTTTCTTTTTCTTTTCATACACCTGAACAGTCTGAGCAGAAAAAGAATATAAATCCAACTCTTCATACATTTGTTTCTTGCATGTAATTTAAAAAAGTGATGGAGCTTTGCATTTTGTGACATATTTCATTCAGCAAAATGAAAATAAAAAGAACAAGTGATGGTGCAAATAACAACAAACAAAGAAAGCTGTTAGAGAGTAAATTAGCCATATCTCCAAAATACAATTCAGTTTGCTTGTTCATAGGCTGCTTGGAATAAACAAGGCAAATATACTAAATCCCCTGGCTTAAAACTGAGCTGCTCACATTGTGAAGTAATGCAAGTCTGCTATGATTTTTTAAACAAGGTGTATTTTTTGATTAGACCTCCTGGGTCACTATTTCAGAAGGTTCACAGGCTGGCAAAATAGCAGTAGATGCAGGAGCAGCTTACCACTTATTGCTGGCTTCCCTATTGACTTTCTTTATGGGAAGTGGGCAGGGTGCATTTGAAATGAGTTTGTGAAACTTTAATCTCATGGAAGCTATGGATCCTGGTCACAACTCTGCCAAATTTCAAGCCCTAAGGTATACCATGCCATCATCACCTCAGAAGACTTCACTCTTCTTGCTGGTTTCCCCATTGACTTGTGGGAAGTTGGCAGGGAATATTCTTTTTTTCCACATATAAATATAAACTGGTGCCATTTCCCTGCCTCTCATGACCCTCAGGTGAATCCCAGTGAAGTCTATACCTCTTCCTTGGCTCATCCAGAAAACATCCTGCCACTTTTTGGGAGGAGGGGGAAGCAAGGAAGCTGCACACTGAAGCAAGTTGCACTGCCACTCCCCATTCTGGCATATTCCCACCTTCTTTTAGGGAGAAAGAGGGCTCATAACTGTGGCAACCCTTAACCAGCCTGACCTGTCCAGTAGGCATCTGAATCACTCCCTCATCCTTCCTTCACTCTCCACCAACATTAAGAGGTTTCAAATTTCAGCCTCAGTTCCAAAGCCAATTGTTGCTCCCTCATCAAGCTTTATTGCCAGCCAACTGGCTGCAGAGTCCAGAGATAGGCAGGCAAATGTCATAATTATGTGACTTCAGCCTGTCACAGTAATGTGACATAGAATCACTGAAGTGGCCACAAATTTAAATCCCACAGGAGTGATGATTCCTGGAGTTTAGTTGATTTCTATTTGTTAACTCATTTGTTAGCTAATTGTTGCTCTATCATGGACCATTTCACCCAATTTAAAGCTACAATAAAACAGAAACAAGAATACTGTAGTATATTGTAGTGGGTACCCCAGAAGCTGGCTCAGATCATGAGGAAGGGTCAGCTTCAGGAGCTTTGGAGCAGGGCATGGAGGAGCGTCTTGAAGATGGGGAGGACCCTGAACCAGGCAAGGTTGGGCAAGAGGAGGAGGAGAAGCTAGGAATCTCAGAATGGGATGAAGGAATGACTGGATAAGTATCTGGCTAATAAACAGAAGGTAGAGATGCAGCTGCAGCCAGGAGGCTCAGAAGACCAACCAGAAACAGTGGGCATAAGAAAGGGCATAGTTGCAATTGGATGAGGAGGAACTGACTCCCCCACTTATCCCAGGGCAAGCAGGACCAAGAGGAGAGAGGTACAAGGGAGGTCAGTGAGTCTACTCATGAAGAGGTAGCCTCACTGCTCCTAATGACCTGCACTAGCCAGCAGCTATCTAGCCCAGCATGTGGAGTAACGTGACACTGGAAACAACTCATACTTTTCTTGCCATGCATCTGTTCTGCCATCTTGACTCTTGCTTTTGGACTCTTTGACTCTGTGAATGGACTTTTGACTTTTCTTCTTGGACTTTGGACTTGATTTTAATTTCATGATTTGTGGTCAGACCATGGACATGTTTTGGGACACCGAACATGGTGGGTGACTTTATGGATTTGCACTGTGTTCTCGGACTTGAGTATTGGACTCATTGGGTTTTGTGCTAGTTCCTATGTAAGGTGAATCCTAGCAAATACTATTCGAGGTTGATGAAGCCTCAATAAAGACTTGTGGTGTGTTTGTGTATGACTGGGACAGGATATATATAGATTAGAGGTCGGTCTGGGACAGGATGTATATAGATTAGAGGTCAGTCTGCAGAAATCCAGATAGCCACTCAATAGCAGCAAAGAGGCAGGGAAAGGTCTAATGTTTTCTTCTATATCAGGGGTGTCAAACTCAAGGCCCTGGGGATGGATCCGGCCTGTGGAGTGCTTAGATCTGGCCTGCAGGGCCATTCTGGAACCAGCAAAGGACTGGCCTGTGGTGTTTCTGTGAGTGAAAATGGAGCTTGCGGGGGTCACATGTGGCCTTCCCGAGCTCCATGTTTTTGCTGGCAGAGGGTTGCAGGAGGCCAGTGCAGCCAAAAAA